ATAACATACTTTTTGCAATAAATGGTTTAATTATTGTATTATATATTGATTTTGCATCCTTAGCTTCAATTTCTAATAAGCATAAAAATCGTATTTTTATAACACCATTAATAAAATATCTAACATAAATTATAATATGAGATTCCATAGCAATATCGGTACTTTCATCAACTATAATTCCAATAGCTGATGCAAGAGACAATTTCTTCCAAATATTATTTTCAATTGAAGAAGATATAGAAGACAACAATTCTCGGCCACATATATTATTTTCATAAGTAATTGGGTTGTTTTCGGGAATCAAATGTGGAGCTTCAATAGCACGGCCAAGATGAGTAAGATTTTTAAATTTGTTTAATGGAAGATCATCTTTTGCCATACAATATATAATCTTCATTAAACTTATAATATGTTCTGACGGCACTTTTATTTTATTTCTTTTACATGAATCTAAATGATCTTTTGTTTCTGCATGTTCTTTTATAGCACTACGTCTAAAATTTGTAGCGCCTAATTAAATTACTTATAAGAAATTTATTTAAATATTTATAATACGTACAAATTAAATAATTTAAAATTACCATTTATTGCAAAAAGATTTTTTTTATTATAAGTACGGCATAATATACAAAACATGAGATTGTTTTGAGAATCGTATTCCAGCCAAGAGTGCTCATTTTTCCAACTTGGCTGAAAACTTCTTTTAATACGTTGAGGTAAGAGTTTGTTAATATCCGATGACATATTGAAAATACTAGCTAAACGTTTTCTTACCATAACGCTCAAATATATTGATAAAGACAGTGATAAAAATTAAAATTTCTATTCGTTTATTAGAACTATTGTTAATAATACTAGCTAAACGTTTTCTTACTATAACGCTCAAATATATTGATAAAGACAGTGATAAAAATTAAAATTTCTATTCGCCTCTTAGGTCTATTGTTAAAAACGATCTAATTCTAAAATATTCATACTAATAATTTTGACATATCAAGAAAGATACTTTAAACAATGGGCTATGGCGCAGTAAATGTCCGGCATTTACTATATGTCGTTTTAGCCCTG